CCCCAAAACCCCAAAACCCCAAAACCCCAAAACCCCGAATTGATAGCATTTGAACAATATCAAGAACTTTAGAAATGCAGTTTACTTATTATAAAGTAATTTGAATTTAAATAAAATGAAGCAACATAATTCAATAAATCATCATTAATCAAGCATATCGACTAAGCAATCATTATAAAGTCATTCGCCTTCGAAGAATTCAATTAATTCTTTGAAATCTCAAACAGTATCTTCAAGAACTAAAGCAAAACCAAATATTAGAGATAAACTAAGCAACTTAGAATCGAATCTAGAGACACTAAGAAAGGATATTGATCATCAAGAAGCATAAATGATTGATAAGAGATAAAAAGAGACTATCACATTAGAAAAGGATCTGACTCGCTAGATCACTAAGTTGAAAGACGGCTTGAGCAAACTGACAGATGTGATAGTAGAGGAATTTGAGCAGGTTCGTTATGAAGCCAGAAACGATATTTAAAAAACTGAATGGGAATTTCTCAAGCGCATGGAGAGTATTGAAATTAAACAGCAGCGAATGCTTTAAGACCAAACTAGTGAAGATTTATTAATGAAATAAAGAGTGGAGTAGCAACATTAGTATGTGATTAACTTTGAAAATCATATTAGAAGAGAACAGGATAGATAGAAAATGCTGCAGTCCTCCCTTTTGACAGATACTTAATATAGTTGCAAGCAATTAACAGAGGATGTGCAAAATGTATTTAAGCAAATAAAATCACTCTAGCAGAACATTAGGATAAAAGACGAAATACTAGAAAGTCTCAAAAATCAATAGGATTTAAGCTTTAAAAAGCAAGATGACTTGTAAGAATTCATCAAATTTATAAATACAATAGAGAAGCAAATTTCAATCAATTTGTGGAGATTCAAACAGAAAATACATTCAAGCTGGATTAAAAACTTGAAAGAGCTGTAAAGGATTTGGACATTCTAAAGTCTAAGATCTACACTACACATGAGTAAAATTTTGATAGTATGATAAAGAAACTAAACTTCATTGAGTAAGACTATCAGTAAAGAATAACTACTCTGGATTTCTAGGTATCTTAAACTAACTCTAATTTTGAAGTAAGCTTTTGATTTCTATAATTTTGATAGAGAGCTGTTTCGCATTTAGAGAGACTTAGTAAGGATAGCTCAATATAGACTTTAAGAGAGCTAGAAAGAAGGATATCTGAAAATCAAACTGCTATTCAGTAGGTTAATGATAAAAATTACTTGCAAGAATAAATACTCTATGATTTCAGGAAAGATCTAGCTCAAAATATGAATGAAATTGAGAGATTTTTTAACAAGAAAAATGAATTGATAGTAAAAGCATTTACAGAGCTATCAAGAGAATTAAAAATAAGTAATCCGATGTTAATATGCCTTTGAATTTAGATTTGATTTTTTCATATAGTTGAATGTGATTTATTCTGCATGCACGGGGTTTTGGGGTTTTGGGGTTTTGG